GAGAGGAAAAGCAGCGAGAACACACGGTGAAGAAGGGGTTCGATGCTCGAAGGGGGTGGATTATTTACGGCGTAACGGTGTTCCGGGGCTGTTGTGTTCGTTGTCAGGTAGGCGGATCGCAGGTCTGAGGCAATTTGCATTTATTTGCGGGTTCCTGACTACGCCCCCTTTTCATGGCGAGCCATGAGACCAGATACGTATCTTTCGCGCCGCTGTTTCACACTTACGTCAGCCAAAGCCGGGGTTTTTTGCCTCGATATTATACCAGGATCGGTTACACACTGTTGTCAGAGTCGCTTGCTTTTTTGGACGACATCGCGACGATCGTCTGCGATAAGGATTGATAATTCGCGCGAATCGCGACAGCGCCTGACCGAGGGAGGATCTGGGATAGCATTTTGTGTAGGGTAGATGATAGAATTTGGTATGACAATGGAGTTAAAAAAGAAAGAACACAGATTATACAAAGGCAACGTTATAATATTATGTGACTCGCTCGGTGTGCGCTGTACAACGATAGCTTAGAGATTAGATCGTAATAACAATAGAATTTAGCTAGCGACCGACACGTACACAATCTTACATGTGTGTGTAATAAGCACAAAACAGTTTAGTATCCACATATAGATGTGAGATATCTCGATTAATAACATTAGCATTCCAATAGTAGATTAGACAAATTATCCTATTTCTGCCTCTTCTCGTTCCGTTTTAGAATTAAACAATAGATTTCGCAGAAATTTTATGACATCGATGCTAAATTAATTCTACCCTCTATAAATTCCAGGTAAAAATTTCGTATCTAGAGTTATCACCTTGGTCACACGATTCCATAATTTTTCTTTCATTTTAGAGAGTTAGCAGATTTTCCTATTTATTGATCTCCAAATTCAAGCTTCGAAGTTCCCAGGATATTTTCAATGAGATTACGAGCCAAGATGGCTTGTAACCACGTGTGAGGCTCGTGGTCAAGTTTTCGAGCCAAAACTGACTGTCACGAGCCTGGCCCGTGGAACTTGGTCGGGCCAAAGCTGACTATCACGGGTCTGGCACGTGATACGTCAGCCGGGTGAAATGTAAACACCACGTGTCACGCCCATGGTTTCTGATGTGCTCCACTTGTATTTTTGCAATTATTAAATTAAATTTTCCCGAATTATATTTTTCTAATCGGCACACTACCCCAATAAGTCGTGTGCGATTGGTACAACTTAAAACAGCTCTGTTTACGTTTCGGGACCACGCTGTCGAATCTTAAATCGTAATGCAAGAGGTTAACGTCTACGATAGAGGGTACATGCAAACAATGGCAAAGTCGGAGAAGCTTCTCAGTCCGAAATGAACCTGTCCGACACCCGAGACCCCCAAACACCGCGGCAAATCGTCGTTGAACGATCCATCCCTGTTCCTCCACCCCTGTGGAATCTTCCCGCCATCTTGATTCTTTCATTCGACGGATAGCTATATCCCCCGATGGAAGGCGTTCGAAAAGACGCCTCTTGTCACCGCCGACAGCCCGAAAACAAACACGCAAACGGGTCCCAGGACCAGAAGGCATCCCCGTAAATCAATTACGTCTTCATCCATCCCCCGTTGAATTCTCCTCTCTTCACGCTCCGGCCATCAACGATATTCCGACGATACCGTGACGATCTCGTCGCGACCTTGGAGAAGCAGACTCAGCCTCTCCACGGTGCGGTAATCCTCGAACGAGCTACCAACTGGCCGCGCACCGAGGCTGGACAAGGGCTGCTGAGAGGAGAGAAGAGCTCTCTCTCTCTCCCTCTCTTTCTCTTCATCCCCGTGGAAGATGGTCCGCGATGAGTAGCATGAAGACATTAGGGAGTTTGTTTTGTCCTCGCCGCGGGACACCGTCGACCGGGCAACTCCGTTAAAAGTAACGCCGTATTACTTGGCCAGGACGCCACCCCGGGTGGTCCTTCGCCAGTTTCCTTCCGCTTTTCCACCCCCTCTCGCGACTCAATGTGCCCGGTCGCTACGGCTGCCTTCTGTTTGGCCATCCTCGCGCTCCGGAACGCACGGCGCGCACAAACAACGGCGATAATAAACATTGATGGGACATCAGCGGCCGACGAGGACTCCTATCCCCCGTCGCAACAATGACCATCCCCTTCCACGCCGATTTTCCCCTGCCGGACTTTCCCTGACGCGCCACGACGAACGTTTTTCACGGAACGAATCGCGGCTACGCTCGTGGATAATCGAAGGCGAGCTTAGGAACCATTATTTCGGATAAAGAGGCCGGGGGTGAGTTTCGGCATCCTCGCCTGCTTTGTTGGCACAACGAGACTTTCGTGACGGGATCGTGTCAAATTTTGCGCCACGAGATAGACTCCACGCTCTTCGTCTCGTACGTTCGTTGCTGGCTTGTGAATACACGGATCTGATAATCGGTATGTAATATCTATTTGCGAAGCATAGTCTGCGCTTCAATCTGGGTCGCTGACATATGCCTACTGTGATTAGATAACGCATTAGAAATAGAAAATTTATCGGTCAGGAATGCATGGAAACGAAGTCAAATTTTGAACAGCCTGTCGTGTAATTGGAGATCGAATGCAACTTGGACCCTGAAGGGTTATATGGAAATTTAATATTTTGGAGGTGATAGTGGAATTGGTATAGGGGTTGACATGATTTGTCTCCGATATTTTTGCGGGCGTGGTTGTTCTCGGTAAAATTAATTTTGACTTTTGCATAAGTAGAGCATTCGGTTTTAATCGCAAATAGTTCTACGCGTTAAATGTAGTATGTTTTATTAACACTAGGTTTACAGACGCTATCTGTATACCTATTTCTAAGGACACCTGTCAAATTGACAGGTAAAGGAAACCACGTGCATTTTCTTTTTAACGATTAGTTTAATTTAAAGACAATTATATATTATATTAACAGTCTTAATATAAGTTAACTAAATCTGTTACCATCGTATAATTGGAGCAACCCTTCCGTCAAATTGACGGGTTCCGTAAATCTAGTGTTAAACATAATGTAGTTTGCAGTGGGCTAGTTAGCTCGGAGTAATTAACCCTTTGCACTCGAGAGGTGCCTCTAGGTCACCATTTGATAAAATTTCGAAGCTCGATATTAATTAATGTATCAAATTTAAAATAACGTAACAGTGTGCGAGGTATCGAAATTGAATAATTCTATGCGTTAATTATTATACGATTTCTTATTTACTGCTCAAAAAATATCATCAGCCTTATGGAAGAAAATTTCTCAATTCGTACCCCTCTTTAGCCAAAAAATCGTTGAGCGCAAAGGTTAATATATTTTATTAGCTGAGCCACACAGATCTTTACACGATATTCTCTCTTGACATATGGTCGAATACAGATTGATTCACTCGCGCTATACCACATAACAAGAAAAAGTCGTCGAGCGCGAAGGGTTAATATATTTTATTAGCTGAGCCACACAGATCTTTACACGATCTTCTCTCTTGACATATGGTCGAATACAGATTGATTCACTCGCGCTATACCACATAACAAGAAAAACATGTGTTTACACAAATTGAAGGAAGATGTCGCGATAGCATGTAAATCCAACACCTTGAGCATTGTGCCAGGCTTTTGCTAATCTTTAGCGTGTAATATGCAATTTTAATGGCAAATTCGAGGCTCCTTCTATACTTCTGATGACGAAAGACGGCTAGAGGAAAGGACTTACTGATTCAATTAGTCTTTTTATTACGAACATCGGGTGTCACGTCCTGTTTCGAACGAAGCATCGTCATTTCCTTAGCGGCGAAAAAAAGAGGAAAGAATGGTGGGCCTAAAAAGCGAAAGTTGGAAGCCGGTGATCTTTGATCATGCGTTAACAGTCGACACCCCCGGTTAGAGAACGGCTTAAAGCGAATCGCGTTATTTGCGCTCGTCGCTTGCTTAATTTGTTCTCGGTCGACTGGGTTGCTCAGCTCTCGCGACCACTTCGAAAATTTTCCTTCGATCCTCTCATGCGTGGATCGGTAACCCTCCTGAGAAGGAATTCGTCGATATTTCTCTTTCCCGAATCTCCGAACGCTAAATAATCGTCTATAAAATCTCCATTTTCCAAATTTACAATCAACTCCTTCCCTAGGTACCAATAGCACCCCTAAGAACCCTCGAGCGATCATCCCTCGATTTGATCCAATGAAACTGCATCCACCCCCTGAAGCCACCCCCGAGCATCGGCCAAACCTATTCACCCATTCGAAACCCTGTTCAGTGCCACCAATCTACCCCCACCACGACGTGTATGAAAAAGGAACACGGGTACCAAAGACAGCATGGTCTCCACCAGGCCTCCCCCGCTTGCTTCCACTCGCGAACCATTGGGCGTGTCTTCAGAGGCGCAACCAGAGAAGCTTCCGAGTGTCTGGATTGGTCGACGGCTGACGGTGGAACAGGTACGAGAGCGACTCGAGCACGTTTTCCTAGGTACCAAGCAGGAACCAGCCGACTGGTGGTCACGGAGCCAGCTACCCCACCATGAGCTGGCTTCGAGAAGGCTAGGATGGGAGTGGCCAAGCGTTAGTTACCCCGGTGGCGAGTGGTCGAGGAGGCTAGTCAGGATCAGGAAAGCGATCTGTCGAGGTCCAACTCAGTTGTCGAAGGACTACGGTGTCGAAAGGAGACAGGTGTCTGGCCGCGATCCAACGAGAGGAGAGCGGGGATCAGATAGAGGCTGGATCGCGAGCAGATTGATCCTGATCGACGTGGTGGAACGAGAGTGGCTTGCGCACACAGACGGATTCCGAGTGACAAGTTCGTCCGGAGGAAGGAGCTAGGGATTCAGTGGGATACGCTGTGATTCGTTCGACGTCGCTCGCGGTTTCGACAGAGACTCCTTCTAGGGATAGTGATAAGCTTTGTCTCGTGATTTAAGCGGGTTCGTCTTTTGGTGAAGCTGCTACGCAGGCAGGAACAGTGGTGTGAGAGAGCTTTTGTGGCGTTTTGTGAGAGGAAGACCGGTGGCGCGACCGCGCTGAGATGACGGTGACCACTAACTTCTCGATGATGCGACCTTGCTTCACTGGATACCCTTTTCAAGGTAAGACCTCCTCCAGTGATCCGACCTTTCGCGTAAATAAAATTTCTTGCCCTCGCCTCTGCAAAGTTCGAAATCCCAGTGATAGTTCGCGTCACTCCCAAGCCTAAATTTACCTTTTGTACAATTTAGTACCAAAATTTATTTAGGTACCAAATTTAATTTACTTGGTACCTAAAGTCAATCGCCTAAATTTTCCTTTTATACAATTCAGTACCTAAATTTATTTAGTATCTAAATTAAACCTCTAAAGCTCGATAACAGGAGTAGATAAGAGATTCTACGAATTTTGCGAACCCTGGAAAAATTGTAGAATATCAGGGTTGCTATTGGGGGTGGAAAACGAGCAAAGGAATAGATCGCGTTAGTATTCAGCGACGATTGAAATTTTACAACCGTCCCCAGTGGCAAAAGTCTTCCAGATCCGGCCAACTGGCTGTTCCGTGAGATTTTAAACGGGCCTTTGATATATAACCTTACCTGGCCCAAGAAGACCGGAACATTACCATTAATGACCGCCATAAATAACGAAATATATTTTTCGAGGGGTTCGCCGTCGCTCTAGTATACTCCCAGTCGTTTTCTCACTTTGTACGCCTCCATTCACCTTTTTCCTTTGGCAAAAAAGATCTTCGAGGGCCTGAACACTCTCTGAACAATATCTTAGCCGTTGACATTTGGAATTGCAGCTCGAAATCGAATTTAGAATCAATCGCTTGATCGATGATATTTACAGATCGGAATCTAACGAGGGCGAATAAAATTGTGAATTTTAATCGAGATTTTATTCCGAATTTTATCCGAAAATTCTTGTCTACTTCTCTGACGAGATTTCGCAAGAGTTTATTTTTAAGCGGAGAGAAGGAAGCGTGATCGAATCGGAAAGTCGTACAAGATCTACCAGAGATTTCTCGGTTCTACGAGAAATCGAAAATGGACCGTGTAATTGCCAAACTTGTCGGGCATTGTTGGCCTTCGTGTTCGCAAAATCGCCGATCCCGAGGACTCCACGACCTCTCCTCGGGACTTTCAAAAATAGACTTTCCGTCCCGCGTTTATGGCATCGTAAATTTCACTGCTTTTCCACGCAGTTCTCCTTCGTCTTCGTGCTTCACCATCTACTCCAAAATCCGTGTCTCGAAGCAGCCGCGAATCCTATTCTCTGTCAAATCCGATTAACCATCGATCGGAGATCCGAGTAACTCGATACGAGCAGTCGTTACGATTAGAAAAGTTACGTAAACAGCTACTACAAACAGTTAATCTCGAATTATCATTTTCATCGGCGATAATCGTCCTTTCAACGAGGATCGTTAGACACGGAATCTCGTAAGAAACGACGAGTAAATGCCTCGACGAAAGAGGTGGAACGATGAAGAGGCTCGTGAATTTTGCATTCTCGTTTGTTGTTTGCGCGGACAGTAGTCGATCATTTGTCACTGTCCGGCATTACGCATGGTGTTTAATTGCATGCAACGATTAGTCACCGAATCGTACATCGGCGGCTTGTATGCAAAATGGAAGCGTTTAACGGGCGCGGAACGTGTAATTAAATATTCCTGGAAGATTAATAACGCTGCGGATGCTTTTTCGCAATTGCGCGTGCGTCGCATCGGCGATGGTTAATTATTTTATGGAATGTTGCAACTCGCAGCCGTGAGAAGTAAAAGCCGGGGGCTTAATGGCCACTCGTTTCTCGGAATTTAGGAAGTTAGGAAGTTAGTTCCGTTGTCGAAAATTACCCCTTTGTGAGCGGAGCAGTTTTGAGTGAATTGTAACCGTGGGGCCTAGTTGCTGCCAAGATAATCATTCAGAACTACCATGACCTATTTCCAATTGAACGCGATTTTCGGTCATAGCGACACTAGCAATGAGGACATAAAATAGTCCATCACTTAACCACTTTGGTACGAGCGTGGAGTATAGTCGACAGTCAGAGATGACCGTGAACAGCCGAGCGTCGAATATAGTCGACAGCCAAAGATGAACGCGAACAGCCGAGCGTCGACTATAATCGACAGCCGAAGATGAACGCGAATAGTCGAACGTCGAATATAGTCGACAGCCAAAGATGAACGCGAATAGTCGAGCGTCGAATATAGTCGACAGCCAAAGATGAACGCGAACAGTCGAACGTCGACTATAATCGACAGCCAAAGATGAACGCGAACAGCCGAGCGTTGACTATAATCGACAGCCGAAGATGAACGCGAACAGTCGAGCGTCGACTATAATCGACAGCCAAAGATGAACGCGAATAGTCGAGCGTCGAATATAGTCGACAGCCAAAGATGAACGCGAACAGTCGAACGTCGACTATAATCGACAGCCAAAGATGAACGCGAACAGCCGAGCGTTGACTATAATCGACAGCCGAAGATGAACGTGAACAGTCGAACGTCGACTATAATCGACAGCCAAAGATGAACGCGAACAGCCGAGCGTCGACTATAATCGAAAGCCAAAGATGAACGCGAACAGTCGAACGTCGACTATAATCGACAGCCAAAGATGAACGCGAATAGTCGAGCGTCGAATATAATCGACAGCCAAAGATGAACGCGAACAGTCGAACGTCGACTATAATCGACAGCCAAAGATGAACGCGAATAGTCGAATGTCGAATATAGTCGACAGCCATAGATGAACGCGAATAGTCGAGCGTCGAATATAGTTGACAGCCAAAGATGAACGCGAACAGCCGTGCGTCGACTATAATCGGCAGGCAAAGATGAACGCGAACAGCCGAGTGTCGACTATAGTCGACAACCAGAGATGAACGCAAACAGCCAAGCGTCGTCTGTTCCCATGTTTTGAAGTGTACCTAGCGGTCCTAGGGCCCCAACAGCGGTCGCATATATGTTTCTGGGCCATAGCAACGCGTTCACTTGGGACAACATTTACGAGTCCCTCGGCCCTATCAATTGTTTTCGCACAACACATATATGCAGCGCTCGTCCACAAAGGGTTAGTACTTCTGATTCCGAATGTACAGGGTTGCTATTTAATCGTTGAAGCTTCCCTAAATATTTTATTATTATTAATTATTTATTATTATTCTTATTATTATTACTTTATTCATAAACAGGCCGTAGTACATCTACATAAAATTTCACATATAAAAGGAAACCAAACGAGTTATACATAATACAACACCGAAGGGACGTGCTTATAAACGCTTTGTTCAGGAGGAATAACTTTAATTCAATAATCATCCGTAATTGTCTTTTGAAAGTTTGTAAAGACCCATAAAAATATCATAAAAGTATCTATACGATTATAAAGAGCGTAAAGAGTGTGAGTAAATACGATTTATTCTCCGATTAAATCGAGTCTTATTTCCACTCTGTTTGGGTGGTTTTCTTGTTATTTGGCATTAGAAGGAACGTTCGTGTACAATGCTCGTACATTAATTTACTTATTTATTTATTTATTTATCTTAACGGGTAATTTAACTTGTTACCTTTCGTAACAAGAAAAATAATAATATGGTACAGAGTCATCTAGAGTTGTTGTTGGCCGATAAAAGATACAATATACTATGCCTAAAATGAGGGGGTGAGCAGAAAAAATTTAAGGATTGGGAAAAACGGTTAACATAAATAAAAATTCTGTGAAACAGTTGTAGCGACCGTAAATGTACTTGTGCTGCTCCTGTTTCAAAAAATTACGGTAGATATTTATTTGAAATTGTAACAGCAGGTTGCAGAATGTACATTGCAACGTGCATGGATGTGGAACTGCAAGTTGTTATAGGGGAAACTTGAGAGAGTACAGCCACTTTGTTTTATTTGAGCCGACAAACTCGATTGAGTTTCACGAACACGTTTCTTAATCAGGATTAAGGGTGAAATACTAAATTTCCGAGCCACAAAGAGTGTACACCGTTTCGACGCTTTGCGAAATCGAGCCTATCGCTGTTTTTCACGAGAAATTTTTCCAACCACGAAGCTTCGCAAAAATGGTGAACCATGAAGGGTTTTTCCTTAACCTGGATAATAATTGAAATCCGTGGATAAACGAATCGTGGCTGGCGAAAAATCGAGCCAATTAGCAAAACAATTAACAGCCGCGGTTTTTTCAACCCCCTCCAGCCGGCCAGTGTTCCCCACGAGGAAAAACCCGTGCTCCATTCGCCGTTTTTCGGCCACCGAGTACACTCGATGCATAACTTGACTTATGCAACCGATTCTGCGCAATCGAAACCGTCGTTTCGCCGTTTTTTCCGCCCGCTTGCAGTCATTTTTCTTCGTTGGTTCGTTACGTGAACGTCGATTCGTCGGTTCAGTTCCTCTTTCCTCTCGTCAAGGTGACGCGATTCTCGAACGATCGTGCAGCGTGGGAAACCGGGAAATTTCGAATCAACAACAATGTTACGATCGGCCTTTTTTCGCCGGTTTTCCGCTTGGAAGGATCAGGCATGCGGTTTATCCCGGCAGCCTTTCCCGAAAAACGCGCGAATTTCTAGCGCGGCGGAAAAAATCGAAAGCGAGGAAAATCGAGCGTTTCGTTAACCAGCGACCCCCTTCTGGCCCCCTTTTTCCCGGTTTCACGATCGTTCACCTTCCACGTTCACTGCAAAATCCGTCCCGGAGGAAAGTAGTCGGAGAAATGGCTGGATTTTCTGATCCCGATTCGCGTTGGAAATCCCTCGATCCGAACATCCTTTCGATACCTTGGAATTCCGTGGGATTGATTTTCCGCGGGAAAAAATTTCCCGCGTTGCGAGAGGTTTGCATTAAAAATTGCCGGTGCCTCGGAAAAAGGATAAAAATCGTCGGGCTGCTAATGTAACGGATGAAAAAAGATATGTATACACTTGTATGCGATTATGTTAGAGGTGTCTACTCGAGCGTGTGAAGATTTTTTTCAAGCAATCTGCAGTGGCTCGCGGGTAATTGCGAGGTGAGCGGATCTAGGAATATCTAGGAATATTAAGAGACAATAATAGTAATTCGTTTTTCTCCGATGATGTCTCGCATCGGCGATCAACGACGTTCCATCGCTGCTGGCCACCTCGTTTTTCCTCTCGTTACTGTGTCACAAAGCTCTGACTCACACGCGAGTCGCGAATTTCTCGAGCGGGTACGAGCGGAGTCGCGATTTCGTTGGGAATCCGCTGGCGAGTCGCTTAGACAAAGGCTCTGTTACGTTCGAATTAACAGCCGCGCTTTTTTCTCCTTCGATTCAAGGCTCCAGGAGCGGAGAAAAATTCGCCGACTGATGAAAGTAGATCTAGGTCCACCGGGGAACGAACTTCGGTCGGACTGACCCTTGGTGCAGCTAGAAATCGTGGATAGAAAATTTTTTGGATATTAGAGCTCCTTTAATTAAACCGATAAACCTATCTACACTCGGGGATCTAGGTACTTGAAATATAAAAATCATTTGTAGGTTTGGAGGATGAGAGAGATGTTCGTGACTCGATATCGAGTTGGTTGGAAAATAATAATTTAATAGTAATCGTTTTAATCGAAAGAGAGAAGGGTAACAAATATTTTGATTTATACTAATAATCGCGGTTTCATCAGAAAAAAGGAAGAGAATCTAAAGTTACTATGAAGTAACTAGAATTTCAATCTTTCAAAATTTCATACACTTATACCAGATTTGCAATTAACCCTTTGCAATAAGGAAAAAATAATTCGAAGCTTTCCTTCTATATTTATAATCCCATTGATTCTTCCTGTGCTAGAATAAAAATAAAATTACTAGAATTTCTATTACCATAATTTCACACGTCCCTTCCAGATTTCTAATTAACCCTTTACCAATTCGAAGCTTCCATTTTATTTATTTTTATAAACTCGGTGATTCTCTTTGTGCCAAAATAGAAAATAAAATCGTTTGCGTTAGGGACGACTTTGTTTCGATATTTCACTCATAATTTCAAGATTGGAACAAACGATGACAGAGAGTCGTCTCTCGCGAGGGGTCAAAATTTGCTATCAGCTCTCGTGGGGTCAAAATTTGCTATCAGCTCTCGTGGGGTCAAAATTTGCTATCAACTCTCGTGGGGTCAAAATTTGCTATCAGAGCAGGAGCTGACATTTCCATAGTGGCTCGAGCATCTGAAATCGCGAGGCGTCGCAACGCAAAGAAATCGCGAAGCGCACAGTCGTATCCGATCTCGATCTCGCAACGTAGATTACACCGAACCAGACAAATTACACGCTATCAGCATTGCGTATCGTAAACCCTCTAGATTCGTTGGCCTTATCGTTATTTACGTGACCGTGCTAACCTACCGACTCCTTCTTCGTCTTCCTCTCTTTCCTCCACTCCTTCGTCCTGCCTCGCGTTCTCCAGACCCCGATGGAACACACAGGAAGCACGTCGAGTCGAAGGCGGAACGATAGATCCGAGTTTCTCTTTGCTTCTCCCCATTCTCGTGTTGCCATTCCCAACCGTTGCCACGAGCGAGCACAAACGATCCGAGATTTTGCAATCGACCTTCGATCGACGAATCGCTCCTGGCCGGAAGGACAACGGCGATAAACCGGGATTAAGAATGACAAGGAAGATTTATGACCGGAGAGAAAATTTATTAGAAATCTGTGTTACGTGCACTCGGAATTTTCTGTACTCGCGAATCGGTGTTTCACGCGATGCTTTATCGTACGTAGAATATTTCGGAATTTTTCCTAATTTTCCATATCCTCTGTTGCAGATTTGGGATCGATACCAGGCCAAGGACGCGTCAATCAGCTAGGCGGTGTGTTTATAAACGGGAGACCACTGCCTAATCACATTCGACTGAAAATCGTCGAGATGGCTGCTGCTGGTGTCAGACCTTGCGTCATTTCGAGGTAAGAATCTTGTAAGAAAATTGTTTCAATAGGAAATAATTAATTGTATATAATAAACATCTATCGCTTCTCGGTATTAAATCTTAAGAGAAAATGGCTATAGCTATGGACTAGGTTCTGATCCCTTCGTTTATGTAAAAATATTAGCTCACTACGATATTAGTCGAAAATGTCAATACAATTTAAAATTCTATTCAAGAACCTATACAAATTGAAATGGCTATAGCAATGGCATAGGTTTTAATCCCTTCGTTTATGCAAAAATATTAGCTCACCAGGATATTAGTCGAAAATATCAATATAATTGAAAATTTTAGTCAGAAACCTATACGAATTGAAATGGCTATAGCAATCCAATTGGTTAAATTTAAATATCTTTAAATTCTTAAATTTTCTAACAAATTTTCTAAAAATTCTTAAATTTCAATCTTTAGATTACTGAGATGCTGATTAATATCATCATTCCTAGGTTTACTTACAACTGGTAGATGGGATCCATTTTCCTAAAATCGTCATTGCCTCAGGAATCCTTATAAATTTCTACATCTCGTTTCGCACAATTTTCTATCCTCGATTATTTCGATTATTTCATCCTTCATCGAGATATTACACTTCAAGCTTTATAGAATACCACATTGGAACGTTTTATACTAGGTTGCTGGGTAAATTATTTCTATGACCTGATAAAATTTTCCAGTCCTACCGATTCTCCTTGTTTAATCCCTCTGTTAGTCTAGTGTCTTCAACTTGATCATTCGTCAGGAGTGTACACGTACGATTTTTATAATATTTTTTGAAATATTATCTTTATAATATTTTCCTTCGTCTACGTCATACCTAGAGGTATCGCAATGAAGAGATTATTGAGACGCTGATTAGTATCCTCGCTTCTAGGTTCATATTCATGTTTAGAGCCTCTCTGTTAATATACGCGTATTTTATAAATTATGTATTATTATAAATTCTAATTTAATAGAATTTATCGTGGTAACAGGCAACTGAGGGTGTCACACGGATGCGTCTCGAAGATCTTGAACCGATATCAAGAAACCGGAAGCATCAGGCCAGGCGTGATCGGCGGCAGCAAGCCCAGAGTGGCCACGCCGGAAGTGGAGGCCAGGATCGAGGAATACAAACGCGACAATCCGGGAATCTTCTCGTGGGAGATCCGGGACAGGCTGATCAAAGAGGGAATCTGCGATAGAACCAGCGCCCCCAGTGTTTCCGCCATCTCAAGGCTCCTCAGAGGTCGCGATCCCGAGGACGAAGCTAAACTTGGCGACGGTAAGCTGTAATTTTAAAGGTTCTTCCTGCTTCTCCTTTTTATTCCACGAAATTACCACGCGAATTAATCTTTCAAGGGGCACTGGCACATGCCTTTAATTTTCCAAACGAATTCCTTTGCATAATTACCTTTCGACGAATAATTAACCTTCAGGCTCAATGACTACGTAAATACGCCTGTATTACCTTCCTGTGAAAAACGAAGAAATAATTTCCCTTCAATATCGATTGGCACTCGAAAAATGTATTATCTCGTATTCTCGCGTTTAATTATCGCGTTTCGAGATAAACACCGCGACCGGTTGACAAATTTCAATTAACCTCGGGCGGCAGGCTTTCTTGCATTTCTAACTCGAGCCCGATAATTTATTCGATCAGGTGAAAAAAGGAAAATTGCATATTAACGCGGTGTATTCCTTTCCAATCGCCTTGACAAAAACTCCTTTGATCGAGAGCACACCGGACACTCGGTGTCTCTTCCCAGCCGGCCTGACCAAGATTGATGATCCAGGTGAATCAGTGAATTAGCCTCTCGCAAATATTCCCGTAACAGCGCCACCGTGCAAAATTAGATTATAACAACACCGGCTCATAATTTGGTCCTCGGGGCCCTCGTTACGCGAGGTCCCTCGAAATTGAATCGACGGGCCCTTTTTGCATTCCCTAATTTTCTTCGCGAATAAGAGGAACATTATTCTTCGTAGTTATATCTGGAAACCGACGCGGCCTCGAATTTTGCAAAATATCTTTCAATACATTGCGATTATTTCCCTTAATCCACGTCTCGTACCTTCGTCCAATTTTTCCACTATCCTCTCTGTCATTTCGAAATTTCCTTTTCAAAATTTCTCGAAAATGAAACTGAAAGATGGTACCCCTCGTTGGCTCGAGGAATGTTCGATGACAGGAGCAATTCGTTATTAGGCGTGATAGGGGAACGTCTAGTAATTTTCCAGAACACGCGTTTTCTACCCCCCGAGGGACGAGACGTGTTTCACTTACCCCCCTGGCCATTTTATTATCCCGAGAATTAGAAAACTGGCATCTGCCTGCGAGAGATTGCGACCAATTCGTGATTAACCGTCATTGGAAACTCGCATTTCCATCATCGTTGTACCCCGCTCCAAGAGTGAGACGTGCTTCCTCGAAGTGCTCCTTTTATCTCGCTCCCCGTTTCATTATCTCGAGATCAGGAGAGCCGTGGTTGCCCTAAGAAAGGTTCGGTAGCATAGCAAAGGCAATTTGTCCGGCAAGTGGAACACGATCTTAGCGAGGCGTTCGCGTGCGTCGCTCGGGCAGAATTTTATCGCTCGTATATCGGCTTATAAAATTTTCACGCCGTGTTCCGCGGTCGCGCGCGCGAAAAATCCGCGGATTTCAGGGAAGCCGCGGGGGAAAATAGGCGGGGAAGAGGGGAACGTGTCCGCGATAAAAGCGACCATTAACGTAACAGCTTCCTGCCCAACGTAATATTCCGAGCTGAGGGAAAATTACCACGCGGGCAATTACGTAGGGGATCAAAAGTGGAGCTTAGCGTAGTAGTTCGCAGTTAATTCGCGCTCCACGTTGAAACTTTCCTCCGGGACTCTTTAATCATCAACGGAGTATTCGAAAAAACGCCTTTCTTGGTTACCGTGCTACGCCATTTTCCTTCCTTTTCTTTTCCCGCCTCGATCGCGTGTGCTCCGTCCATCGAAATCGTAGAAATCCGTCCCGAGTGATCCGATCCGAAACCGAAACCAAAATGCGCGAAATCCTCCAGCCTTTGCTCGAAATTTCGAATTTCCTTTTTCAATAGAAAGAAAATATTTTCTATCGAAATATGGCAAAAATAAAAATAAAAATAAAAACATTTTCCTCGTCGCGATGTTGCTTTTTCGTCGTCAAATGAGTCGTTCGGTAGATGAACTTGGCGTTGATACGAATTATTCTCACGACCCTGCTATCAGGCACGATCGTTCCGAGGATCCGCGAGTGTCCGGGCGACAGAACAAAATTATCAAAGCAACAAATTACAAACCTCGCTTCCTTCCTGCGCGAGCGCACGCATACACACGGCCTGACCGGGCGTCGAGGTCTCCGGGAGAAAAAGGAAAAGCGGGGCGAACAAGACAACGGCTTACTTCCGCGATCTCGCTGCTTCTCACCCTCCCTCGAGCGGGGAAACTGAAAAGGGAAAGAAAATAGCTGGAAGTGGCCGCAAAACGCGCTTAATAGCCGCGAACGAACGGGATACGGGGATCGCGAACTGGAACGCGATAGTCGAAGGTAGGATAGATGGAGGATCGACACGCCCCATCAGCTGGCCGCGTAGACCACCAAGGCTCCCATGCGGGATCTCTTCACGAAACGGTGAATGAATAAATTAAATGGTCGCACATTAATCAGCCCGGCGTTTCTCGATCTTCGAAATTACCGGTTAACGTTCGCCGCCGCGAACAGTCGGTAGCCTGGTGCGGCTCTGTAATTTCCTCGCCGCCCGGTACATGCCCACGTGCACGTCCGAAACGTTGGATAGGTGGTGCGGAATCGGGTGCACGAAAGCATCGGTTCGGGTGAATGCGCTCCATTCCCAATTTTTGCTCCTTTCCTCGCTTTCCTCGCGCCCGGTGCATCTCGGTAACGTTGCAATCGGTCGATCGGGATTTTTTCGGAAATTTCTTCGGGATATTTGGTGCTTCTGGAGCGACGGAGATCGGAGGAAGCTAGTCGAGGTTATCGGGAGTGTAGGAAGTTGGGAAATTAATGTGCCTAGCGGAGAGGTGGAGATTAGGTGTACGATAGCCTGGAAAATGAAGGGTATAGACAGTTGGGAATTGGAGCTGTGGTTAGACGGGAATTAATGCGGCTGAGAGTTGGAGAATGGGTGTATGGTAGCTTGGAAAATTATGAGCAAGTTGGAAGCTGTGATGGAATGAAGTTTAATATTGGAGTCTTCCAGTATTCGCTTTATTTTATATATATATTTAATAATAATTTACGGGTAGTAGAACCCATTAGTGTATAAACAAAAAATTAAGAAATACATCGGCTTGTTAGAGAGAGAATATAGGTTATGTATGGTACAAATGTCGATATAACCGATATATACAATTTGCTTAGAGATTTAAGATCTGGTTTTAAGATTTAATGCAAATAATAAAATTGATAATATGTGTTAAGAGTGACTGTCGAAACAAGAGTGATTAGAACAAAAGCAACGTGCACAGTAGGCTCACAAAGCTTAGATGGCTCCCAAATTAAATCTGTTGTAGTTTCTCATTATTATAACAGATGTCGCGATTAGTACGGTTCTAATAAGCTGGAATGGGATATAGTTTCCTCGAAATGGACGAAACCGCGAGATGATAATTGGGTTTGTATTTGGAAATTGGGAATGTGGACAGTTGAAGATGGAAGCTGCAGTTGTACATAAAATTGTCGTAGCAGGGAATTGAGGTTAGGTGCGTGGTAGGTTGAAGGACTAGAGCTAGCAGTGAGGAATAATTGTATCAATTAAGGGCGCTGGTTAATGTCAATAGGAAATACAGGAGCAGGAAATTGGTTCGAGATGTAAACATAAGGAAGTTAAGTAACTGGGTTGGAAAATAGAAAGTTGTAGAAAGGAGTGAGAAAATGTATTCCAAAATGGCACGCTCTCTTCGTAAATAGAGAATCTCAGCTTCTGTCGTCGATCCATCTTCGACGTGTCAACTGGTCCAATGAAATTCTTATTTCTGGCAATATTCTTTGTTAAATCGAAGTATATATTTATTTACAAATTATTAAATTTTGTATTCTTACGAGAAAAGATGGTCCCATGTATATTGCATTTTTCGCTAAATTTGTGAGCAAAATTTTCGGAATTCCTTAAACGTCTAATATAGCGATCAACGCCGAAAATTTCTCACGATTTGTGGGGGTTGTTTCGACTCGGAGCGACAAGACAAATGAAAGCTTTAAACCGACGGTGGTCCATCGGTGGGGTCACTCGAAAATGCTTGCCGGCGAAGATGAAAGAGCAAAACGAGAAGAAACTGCTCGTAGATTTGTAAGTCGATCAGCCCGATGGTCGGGCGCCCTTTCAAAACAAAAAGAGGAGGGCAAAAACAACGTGTTGCCACGGTGGGGGTGAGAAAGCTAAAAAGGCCCCGACCACCGAGCGCTCGAACTTGTCAAACCGCTGTGAAGATTCTTTCTTTCCTTTTGATTTACCGATGAAAACGAGGCTTAACGCGATTAACGTGGCCAAAAACGGTAATAACATCGACAAATAGAGATAAAACGCATCGACGGTTAATTATTATAATTCTCGGCACCATTTTTTGCTCGAATTCGAATTCGAACGTTTCCGAAAATTCCGCCGTCTCGAAATTAGTGTCGCGAGTCCAGGAATATTTTATACCGGGGATAACTTTTTCCAGGATCGATTAACGTCGAATTTTGCTGTGCTTTTTAACCTCTGCTTGATTTTACGAGGTTAACCCGTACGTTTCGTGGTTTTCTCGTTGATTATAAGAGATAAAATAGCGCGTGTCGTGTGTTGGTCGACGTCTTCTGGTCCACGTAGCGAGATCGTGTCGAACAGCAACCTAGCAATCTCTCAACCCCCTTGGGGTAATGCGGGGTTCGAAAGTTTGGTAATTACTAGCCGCTCGTGGCCGCTTAGTCCCATGAAAGATGTAATTTCTGTCGTGATTTTGCAAATTCGCCACGTCCGATTTCTACTTTTAAATGAAAACGGCCTCACTCAATGAGCGTCTTTTTCAAAGAACTCTACACGAACTACATATAAGAACCTCCTTCGGGGACCATTTTATTCCCTCGTACTTCCACTATTATGACAAACGAAACCTCTTCGAGGATCGAGCTCTATGGTGTCTGCAAAAATCCCTATTTTCACTACTGTACCGGAATATACGCAAATCTGTCGCTATTTTAATTATAATCACAATTATAACTCGATCAGGGGACAATTGGAGATTAAAATTCAAACCTAAGTGTCGTACAAATTTCCCAGG